TGGTGTTTTGAAAGCTATTAATAAACGACGGCCAAGTTTTAATATCTCCATTAAATACCGGAATATTTATGGGTGCAATCTAAGTGCTTCACGTGGATGTACCTGGGTTTCTGGTTTTGCTTCGCTTTGGGCTGGAGACTGTAAGAGTTTTTCCATCCTTTTTATGCAACACAACATATCTTCAAATGATAGAAGTGGTTAATAGTTCACTGTATACTTAGGGTCTATTTGTAATTCCAAACTATTAATTTTGTCTAATATATTTTCGTTACCCGATCGCAAAGAGTCCACCGTTTCGATTTCACATGAAAACGTTTCCCACACTGAATCTACGTTTATATTTTTTGTGTGATCACTTATATATTGTATACGTGAAAAGAGTACGTCCCTCTTGGCGTAAAGAGTTTTAAGTTTAATTTCATTTCCACTAACTCCCATCTTGAATCACTATAATTAATATTAGATTAAATACGAACAATATCGTATAAAGTTGGAACACAATGCGCCACAACTATATCTCAAAACACGCTATTGTCTTATCGTGCCGTATTACGTCGTTAAATTTACCACTTTGTCAGTAATATTATTTTTCTTGCGTGAAGGTAACTTGCTATCAAATACACGTCGACTAGGTAAGAATTTAAAACTCGTATAATGTTACAAATAGCGAGTAAGATAAATAAAATTAAGCGGGTCTAACTATTTAAATAAATAAGAATCTATTTACCTATGCGAATAAACTAACACAAATTTAAATTTAAACTAAAACAAAACTACATAAATCTATCCAATATTAAATTACAGTGTATTGTCCAAGGAATTGGTTCAGCAGTTCGACTCGATGAGGCACCAGTTCTAAATCCGGCTCGAAGGACCAGAAAAATGGTTGGGCGGCGGGCCTAAGGGTTCCCGAGTTCGATTCCCAGGTTGAGCCTTGACCCTATTGTGCGAGGTGTTATACTAGGTGGACTGTATACGCGGATGGCTTCTTATGCCTCAACAAGATGGCGGACGTGGCACGCGGCACCTTGGACAATGCACTCGCTCTTCCAAATCTATTGCTTGCCAAGGTTAAGATGGAATCCTACTTGAGCACATTAGGAGAAACAAAATGGAGCGGGTTAACTAACAAACAAAATGCTCAAGTAGGAACATAATTACGGGAAAACACACTTACCGGGGTGTGATTCTGATGCGGCGGACGACGCTTCTGTTGCGGTGATGCGACGTGAGGTGGGTTCTTCTGGGGCGCCACAGAGATGCGATCCAGGCCAGTAATACGAACGATGAGAGCGGTGCGCGACGATATCTCACACTATGTGAGGCGGTTACTTCTGGAGCGCGACTGCTCCAGGTCGTGCGGTTCAGACTAGCGGCTCGTGGCAAGGGCCGCTCGAGGGCAGCGCGCGAGCCTATATTGCCTCGGCTTTCCCACCAGTGCACCTTGGTCGGGCGCGCGTCTCATTGGTCTAAAGAATCGCGTCACCTTCTAGACTCCCCCTTTTCCCCTTTCAGTGTGTATAGAAGTGACGTGAGGTCAAAGGAAGGATAAACACTTGGTAAATATATCCTCGAACAAATTAAAATACACGAATCGTTTCTGCGTAACCAGCCTTAGTTGAAAATGTCTTTTGTATTTAGGTATTGCTTTAAATCGAATTCCAAGGCGTTACATTCGCTCCCGGACTATATTCACCTTAAGGTTTTAAAAGTGAGCATGCTATTACATTATGCATTGCATTAGGAACTTACTCGTAATCAGGGAGCACAGCGTTTTATAAAAGCATTTACGCCTTAATGTTTTAGCGTTTAAGACGCAGTAAGTTTCGTAAGTAATCCTTAAATGTAATCGCGAATCAAAAAACTTGAGATTCAATTAATATTTAAATAAAATTAATTTAAAATAATTAAATTTAAAACAAGTAAAATCGGTGTCAAAAGTGCATATCAGAATTAAAGCCCCAACTGAGCATATTATTATGTTGAAATTATAATTTTGTTTTTGTTTCTAATGTCAGTTTTAAAGTTAGGTATACGGGGTGAATGTTGCAAAACTGTTACATACTGCTTTATGATACATACGTTTTTATAAAAATATTTTTCAAAATAATAACAGTGAAAGTTTCGGTTTTAAATTTAAATTAAATTAAAACGAAGAAATCGCAAATCGAAGCACCACTTTTAGCATTTGTAATAAAAGGAAAGGAATGCAACTTATATCATTCTTGCGGAACCAACTTTGCCCAAGAAAGAAAATTATCTATGTATGTTGCCGTTAAGACAGGTAAAAAGATGAATATAAATTATTTATACATACAGAATATATCCTCATAAAACGATGAAACTAATTGAATTCAAGCATATTGATCGTATTCATGGCTGCTTGAGCCTGTCCTACGAGTTTACGATAAAATATTACTTCATAACAAACAAATTATTATCGGAGTTTGACCATCGGCAATACTAATACTACCATTTCAACGACCAAATATTTTATGCATTGTTACTACATAGATACTCGCGTCTTTCTTTACAATATTATTATTCAACAGTTTATATATTGTTTGTGTCAGAGCCTTAAATTGTATGCTTGTTTGAATAAATTAATCTTTATCTTATTAAAGTTGGATAACTTAAATAAAAAAAACGATATCCGGCTAAAAGAAAATTGAAATATTCACAGCACCGTTGATCCTACTGAAAGGAAATTGAAATCACGTCACAAAATATACCTATATTTCTTTTAATTTTCAGTACCTATTTATCCGTATAGTTGTGTTGAAATAAAATCTACAGTCCTATATTATTTCGTGGGTGTCGTAAGAGGTGACAGAGGGACATGAAACAGGAGATGGGCAGCGGTATCGTCTTAATAACAACTCTTAATTAAAATAAACTGTGGTTGTCAACCTGCCGGTCAAGAGTAGCAACTATGGCAATTACCCCCTTTCTCCTATGAGACAATATAATTAGAAGGCCTATGGTTAGCAGTGGATTTTGATAGGCTATAATGGTGATAATGCTCGATGCGTGTAATATCTATTGGAGTTTATGAATTTTGAATTGCATGTAAGTTCGTACAAAGGTTCTACTTATTCCATAATTTGCTGAAATATCTTCCAGTAGACTCATAAAGGAAATATATTGAAATGGTAAACCTATTGCATACATTACTACTACTAATAAATAAATAAATATATACAAAATGTTAGTGATAATGGTAGTGAGTTCCATAACCTTACCGTGTGAACTGAAAAGGAATAGGGGTAAAAACCGGATTTATAGACGGGAAATTTATTAATAGTTTTAACAAGGGATCTGCATGGTTTATCCGGAGGATGGTTGAAGCAAAATCAGCTTTTTAGGTATGTGGGAGATTAAATATTGTGCAAGATGTTATAGAGGTGACATAACAATTGAGTGTTCCTTCGAAATCGACTTGGGAGCCACTTAATTTGCTTGCGAAACTGAGATATTCGGTAAAATTTCTTGAGCCAAAAATAAAACGGATACAATGATTTTGCAAGCGCTTAAGTTTATTAAGGAGCTACTCTGTAGCACCCAAATAACAGGCATTCGCATAATCAAGGAGAGGTACGATAAAAGTAAGCGTGAGTAATATTTTAGCTTTAAGGGGTAAGAAATTTTGTAGACATTTAAGCGAATGCATGGTAAAGTGGACCTTACGACTAACCTCAGCGATATGCGTGGTCCATGATAAATGGTGATCAAATATGACGCGTAAGTTTTTGACAGTATTGGCATAGGGTGTAAGAACGCCAGCAAATGCCTGCTGCCTATAATGATGGCCTGAGATTTCGTAGGATTAACTAATATTCCGAAGGATGCAGACCATTCACAGATGCGGCTCAGATTCATACAAATAATACAATTTTATTCATAGCTGCAATTGTATTATTTGTATCACCCACAGGAAAATTGCAATAAAGCTGTAAGTCATCGGCATAGAGATGGTAATTAGATGTAATAACGCTATAGAATTAATAAATATGGAAAATCAAAGAGGAGAAAGAACGCCACCCTGAAGTACACCCCTAATGATAGCAGACCAATAGGAAAGAGTGTCGTTAAAACGGACAAAGTGTGAGCGATCATGGAGATACGAATCAAACCGCGCGATGGCAGATAGGAAAATGTTTACAGATTCCAGGATCCGGAGAAGAATATCAAAGTCTACTGAAGTAAAAGCACTGCTAAAGTCAAGCAAAACTAAAAGTGTTAGATATTTGTTGTCCATGGCCAAACGGATATCATCGGTTACTTCAAGTAAAGCAATGACAGTGCTGCGTCCACGACGAAACCCCGACTGATATGTGGAAAGCAAGGAGTCATACGATAAGAAGAGAGAGAATTGACTATGGATGATATGTTCCAAAACTTAAGAAAGATGGGGTAAAATATATATGGGACGAAAGTGGGACAGAAAATAAGGATTAGAAACCGTGGGCAGAGGAATTATATATGCTTATTTCCAAACTGAAGAAAAAGTCGAGGGCGATTTGAAAAAATTAAATATGTGAGTGAGAATTGGAAGAAGTAAAGGTAGAACTGGCAAAACCAAAATCATCTTCGAGCATAGACCATCGTTACCAACAGCATTTGAAGAGATGGCTAAATGGATTTTTTGACTCGCCAACAGGTGTGCGCGCCGTGCCTAGTCAAAATTGTGGGTGCAAAGGTCCGTTTCTGCATATAACCGATCCATGGAACGGTGCTGGGCTTGGGCGTCTCCCGTTAATTGACGCCCATAAAATGGATGATGGCATAAGGCTGCTGTCTGAGGGTCGGCGGGGCGCGTCTGGAGCTGGCGCTGGACGCAGCAGCATGCAAGCCGACAGCCGAGCGCGAGGAGACGCACGATCACCTAGCAGCCCCTCACATCCATCATTTCCAAGGCTTGTTGTCAGCTGAGTCCACTCGGACTCAGCAAGTAGCACCCGCTGCTGGTAGAGCACGTCGCGTGCGTTGGACAAAAAATAATGAACGAAAACGCATTGCGGGCGGATTATAGGCCAAAAGGGGAAGAAACTGCGGGGAAAGCGTATAGGGCTCGGATGCATTGCTTCTTTGCTGAGCTGGAGCCGTCTATTCCCGTAACAGAACAAAACCTGGCAGACAAAGCACGGTACATCATGCGCTCGAAAATATTTGATGATGCCGAACTCGAACGACTACGACGTGAAGCTATTCCCTCAATGAATGAATGGTCTATGACTGGGGATACGGCTTCTCAGGCGACAGACCAGCATCCAAACGAAGAAGCCACCATGGATCTTCCAGTTGTGGTTAATTCGGCCGATGATGAAAAAGTCTTATACGTACTAGAGAAAATGAGGAGCATATTAGAAGAGGCAATTTTGGAAACGCGCAGCATGCTTCTCGAAAATTGACCGCGACTTCCCCGCATACCTCTAAGGAAGTGAAATCGGGCTGCCGTGCGGGCTCTTAACCCAATGCTGGTGACCTATTTGAAAGCCAGTCGGGACCTTTGCGATACGGACTCAATTATTTTTAGTGCCGCAGTGGCAGTTTTCCGTATAATGGGCTTCAAACTTCTCGTGGCTGGGCGTGCTACTAGACAAAGTAGCGCCATCTCAAACTGAAGAAAAAGAATCGAGGACCGTATCGCAAAGGCAAGGGCTCTTATCGGCAGACTGACAAGCTTCAGGTCATGTAATAATAGACCGAGGGTTGTGCGTATCATTGGAATGGCGTTTGCTGGGACAGATGTCAGTTTTTACCAGCCCGATATCACGCAGAAACTAACGGAGCGCATAGATGACCTGAAGCAAAAAGTCGCTGCTTAGAAGAGGCGTATTTAACGATTTACCGAGAGGTCAAGGTAACCACCTTGACCTCTCTGTTGAACCCAACAAGAATCCTCTCTTCCGGAGTGATCAGAAGAGGCTCTATAAATCGTTGGAGCGACCGGAGTTATATGGAGCGGGCTCAGGACCAGATCAGGCCGACACTATGGCAGTCTGGCGTGGCCTATGGTCAGATTCCGTAAACCACAGGGGGCCCTGGGATGGAAATTCTGGCGAGCCAGGGTGCAAATGTTACGCCTAAGGACTCCGTCACCATAATGCCGGAAGACGTGGCTGAGGTGGTTTGTAGGGCCTCGAACTGGACAGTCCGGGGCTCGACAGGATGCATCATTACTGGTTGAAGGGGTTCATAGTAAGTCACACTGATCGAACGACAGTTTCAAGGGGTTCTCGACCAGAAGCAATGCATGGGGCGTGAGACTTCCTTGAGAAATGTATGGGGCAGTGAATTACAATCTTTTGTCATCTGGGTGAGCGGATGACGGCTGCTGAAAACCGCATTAGTATAAGAAGGGGTAGCTTCATTGGCAATTGTCTGAATACTTTACTGCATGGCTCCGGGAGGGGATTTCAGCTTAGAAAAGGAGGTACAAGTGTGACCCACTTTTTGATGACCTCAAGTTATTTGCCTCCAGTCCCTCCTATTTTGTGGAATTCCTAAATATCACTTGTGAATATAGCAATTTTGTTGGAACGTAGCTGGGAACGGATAAGTATGTGGAAGATCCTCCATGTTGAAAGGGGAAGGGTTGCTAACTTTGAGGGCGTAGAACTTATCTATACCCGTCAATGTAAGGACCCTTTCTGAGGCTGAAACATACCAATACCTGGGTATGTCACGGAACATCGGTATCGATGAGGCTGGTATGAAACCGTCAGTCTGCGACATGTTTTATGTACGCTTGACCAAAGTGCTTAACAGCCTTTTGTCCGGTGTGAATAAGACACAAGCATACAATGGTTGGGTCATGCCTGTACTCATGTATACCTTCAGCATAATTAGGTGGACTCAAACTGAACTTAACGCCCTGGATAGAGAGATCCGCACTACTATGACGTTTTATAGGATGCATCACCCGAGATCTTCGATTATGAGGCTATACTTGCCGCGGAAATATGGTGGGTGTGGCTTTTTAAGCACGCTTACGATGCATAATTGCGAAGTGTGCAGTCTCCGAAACTACTTTCTGACGAGATCGGATAATCCATTCTATAGGGACGTCATTTCTTGTGATAAAGGGCTTACTCCTCTATCCTTAGCCAACGAGCAATGGAAGACCCTGCAGTACAGAGCATTTCCAACCGGGAGACCGTATGGAAGGAAAAGGAGCTCCACGGGAGATTCTATAAGGCTCTACATAAGCCTTTTGTAGAAACAGTTGCCCCTTCCACTAGCAAAGTTTTGGTAACTTCTTTGGGGAAACCGAGGGTTTTGTCTGTGCAATACAAGATCTCACAAACATCAAACATCAAACTTACACTACCATACGTTAAACTAGGGACTGACACAGTATTATGAATTTCCATATTATGTGCCTTTGTTTACACATTCTGTCTTTTTGCAATAAAGTGTAGATCCCCATTTACTTTAGTTCCTGTGTCCACTAGTCGTTCTATATCCTTATCATATCTCTTATCCCTGCTGAATATACATCTCAAATATATAAAGTCATCTACATGCTCGACAACCTCACTTTTATTATTTCACATATCGTTTTACTTTCTTCTCTTTGAAAACCATAACATGCATCTTACTTGTATTCACTTTCATTCCCCCATATTTTAATAACCTTTTCAATAATGTAACCATAATTTGCACTTCGGCCACTAACTATTGATTGATTAAACATAGTGTTTGTCACAAGAAGACCCTTTTCCTTGCATACAGCCAGTATAAGCTTGCCAGCATCATTAAACTTTTTATCGCCAAACTTTCCAAGCACCAACTCTTACCCTGGTCGAGCGATATTTTTGTTGTATTTTCGTCATGTATATTTCCTTTCCTGATCTTATATTCACGAGAGGAAAATATTGATATAATAATTTTAATTATACGATACAAAAGGTAACAAAATTCCCCCTGCGTTTGCAAGGAATTGTTTAACTCTTGTTTATCCTTTAATGCCTGTATCAACCCAGCGCTCAACCTAAACGAGTTCAGTGTTTGCTTGGATTATGTGATTACACACCCTAGTCCACTCTGTCATTAGCCTTTTCCGAGTCAATGAACGCACAAAAACTTTTTGGTTTTTTGCCAACAATTTCTTCGCAATTTTACGCATAGAATAGACTTAATCTGTACACCCCATTTTCACTCTAAATCCCTTGCGCAACCCAAATTTTTCCATCAGTTTCTTTAATAAATTTTCCAATTAGTACCTAAGCATACAGTTTTCCGACAATTCTAATAAGGCTGATACCACGATAGTTCTTAAAATCGTACTGCGACCCTTTTACTTTATATATTGGGACTATCACGTCTTTACACCAGTCTCCCGGTACCCGCTACAGTTTCCAACTTAAATTAAACAAGGTGTACAGCAGACCTGCCACCACTTCCTCTCCAGCTCTGAGCATTTCGAGTGGAACTCTATCATATCCGGCTGCCTTACTTACTTTCATTATTTTCATTTCTTTAATTATTTTATCTAAATTTAACTCCCCATCTCTTCTATCTTCATTCAGAGTTTTTATTTCATTTAGTTCACACGTCTTCTCACTCATAAATACGCTTTCAAAACATTCATTCCATCTATTTAGACTCAACATTTCATTATTTAGAATACAGCTCTCTCTTCTCGGCTCGTATAGCATTCAATCTAGACTGTTTTGAATGTCACCTTGTGGTTCGAGTTTCCAGAACATTTCAATATTTAATTTTAAGTTATCTAATATTCTTATATTATTCTTATCCGTTCTTTTTTGCTTTTTCCTTTCAGTTTATACTTTAACTCACTTATTTAGGCGTTTAAACTCTGCCTTTTTTCTTTCTATCTCAATTCACACCGTCAGAATTACTATATTAGCTGTTTTGGTTGCCAGTTAACCTAGTCATGTTCTCTTCTTTGCTCCAACTTCCTCATCATCCCACTATAAGGTATTATACTTCTTTTCATTCGTTCTTTTACTAACACCACATACTTCCGGTAGCTGCATCCACTAAACCTTTATTAACATTGTGCCCCACATTATCCAAGTCTAACTCATTCATACACAATTCATCCAGACCACTTATATTTTCTCTCATTCGACATTTGTATTTGTCTTTCACATCTTCATCTTGCAACTTCTCTATTCTTATACGCTGTAACGCAGTGGTAGACACAGATATCTGATGCCGCCAACGTCTGAATAAACCATTAATTTGGTGTAATACCAGGTAGCGATCTGTTTCTACGCTGGATCCCGGGCAAACCCTTGTATCTATCACTGCACTCCTCATTCTTTTATCAATAATTATGAAATCTATCATGCTTCTATCATCACCTCTATTTCACTTAAACATGTGAATGTTCCTTTGACGATAGAAAATTTTCGTCACAAATGATTGTTTTCCACACATACGGTTAGGACGATTTCACTATTGTCGTTTATATTTTCATCACTAAACGTTCCCAATATCCTTTCATAGCCAAGCCTTTTCTAATTATCCATCACTATTAAAATAATTATCTGATACAGCTTTTAAATTGATATACAATATCATGGATGCTAATATTGCAGCTACCACTTCAACTAATATTATTACTGATGCTCATTATAATTAAATAAATAATCCTCACCGTAAACGTTGAATCAAGCCATGACTAATTCCTGGATTGGAACGCTGTATAAGAAACAGGGACAAATTGCACAAGAAAGTAAAGCGCGATAAAAATAACACAATATTACACATTACATATACGAGGTATCACAATTTTTGCAACAATTTGTTAAAAAAAATTATAAACTGCCTATGAGCAAGTTTGAAGACCTTTCTACTAACGTAGAATTTTAGGCCGAAATGTATCAAACCTTAATAACATTCAAGGAAGAATCGCAAAAACGAATCAAGTCATTAGAACAGAAAAATATCTACTTAGTAAAGTGCAATAAAGCGTTGGAAGAACGGGTGCAGGAGCTGGAGATTAAAGAAAGAGAGAAAAATGTAGAAATTCACGGGCTGGAAATGCACAAGGATGAGAATATTACGTCTGTAATTAAAGAAATAGCTTGTAAGCTAAACTTAAATCCGGATGATATCGAAGAAGCACAGAGGGTAGGTCAAGAAAAAGTTTGTGATAAAAAGATTAAAACCGTCGTGATTAAATTGCGATCTACGATCTGCGAACGCCCGTAATAGCTGGATGTTAGCAAAAAAACAATATAAGCATAGCATAAGCATAAGCATAAACACTCACGCCTGTCACCCAGAGGGGTAGGCAGAGACTACGGACTTCCGTTTGGCACGATCCTGACATACCTCTTTCGCCTTCTTTACATCCATATATCTACGCATACATGCTCGTCGGTTAAGGGTACTTTTAACGTGGCCCATTTTCAAAATATCGCCAATTTGGTCG